TTTTATTTTAGTTGTTTTATTCTTTTAAAGAGTTTTGTTGTTTGTATACACTTCTATTCCCTTGGTATGTGCATTGCTTTGCACCCATTAAAATCAGCAGATTGTGTGTTCTAAGGGTAGTTGGATTGTTAAAGAAAGTTCTAAGCCATGTAGTTGGAGGTAATAATGCTAACGGATATTTAAAAAAAAAAAAAGTAATAGTTTATCAAAGCATTTAACATGAATAAGAAAATCAGCAGGACCTCTGATTTGACATAATAAAAACACCTTTAGAATAATAAGTCAGTAATCAACCATGGTCTTTCTCTTGTTGCTTGTTCACACAGTTTGCTTTGGATATTTTAATGTGAAACGTCTCTGACGGCGAATGAGCTTCAATAATATTTGTCTTTCTTACATGGAGCCAGTTTTCAGTGAGTTTTCACAGCTGTCTGAGGGATCCTTCTTGGTTTAATTCAATTCATGGCAGGAAATATTAGGAAAGAACCCCCATGGTACCTCCAGTCACAGCTTCCAAAGTAATCCACGATTACCTTTAATGTTCTGTATCTAATTGATGCCAATTTTCAGCAAAACTAATTTCATTCTGACTCCAACCAATCAAGCAGTTTTGTTGGCCAGAAAGAACAACATTTCTGTGTGGTATTTGTCAAAGATTATTTTTTTTTTCTTTTCGGGTAAAGAACTGAATGACTTGCACTCGAGGGTTTGAGCCAGAAAGTAGAGACATAGTGTACTAAAATTGATTGAAGACAAACTCCTGGCTTGTAGGAATGATTGACTGCTGCATTTACTAAAGGGGGAAAAAGGAACCGTTCCTCAACAGTACAGGGCTTGGATCTGCACTGCTGGTATTAACGTACAAGTTGCCTGCCTTTTGGACAACATAAATTCTGTCATATATTTATTTCTTTTTTTAAACTTGCATTGCAATCTTCATCTGAGAAACAGAAGGAGAACATGGAATTCCTAGAAATATTTTTCCTTTAACCATAAAAAAATATTGTAAGAGTTTCCATTATATTCTACGGTGTTATAGTACATCATTTGGATTTACATGCATAAAGACGATAAAACGTAGAGGACAGTGTTTATTTTTCAATTACTGTAAAAAAACCTTTATTAGTGATTTTAAAAAAAGGATATAAATATTAGAATGCATAATTATAAGGAGACTACCACTTAACTATTTTAAGCAATCGGATATTCTAAAATTGTCTTTTTAATTTTTTTGTATATAAAAAAAATTATTTCTATATATTTTTTTAAGTTTTTTTATGCTCCATTAGGAATGATTTTTTTTTTAAGGGTTTTCCTGATCCTGTATTGGAAATTCGATCTGATATCAACAACCAAGAAAGTATCGCAATGTATCCCCTTGCATCTAGAATCTCTTATGTAAGTTGATAGAAACACTCTGCGTCTGTTTAAAGTTTGCATCGCCATTGGTTAATAATAAATGGGTCAATTATTCTCATTTCTTTTGTTGTTAATTCTGGTCTCTGTTTAATTAATATCAGCCGAACGAGCTTTTTCTAGTAGTAAAAGTATGTGTGATTAATGCTGATATAATATTGGGTCAGTATCAATGTCAGTCAACACTCAACGCTGCAATATTTTTACTGTGCTGGTAATTAAAAAGTTGGATCAAGACCGACGTTAAGATGGTTTTGAAATTAAAATTTGGTCCATTAGTTTTGATTTACTAGTTTTCAGCGTTTTTGCTACTTTTTGTTTTTATTTTTTTTTTAATTGTTGAGTTTTAATTTAGTTTTTATTAGTTTTAAATATAGTTTTTCTTTTTTGTTACAACTAACTGTACATACCGGGGGTGAGACTTAAAAAAATAAATAAAATCCCAGATAAGGAAGGACGTCTGCAGCAATGCAAATGACCTAACTGCCCTACTAACATGTTGCAGTAATGTATTAGACAAAACAGCAACCTTAAGCTAGACTTCATATTAATACGTTATGATTAAAGACAAAAACAAAATCTAAAATCTAAGCACATTGTCTTGAAATTCAGTTAGTTTTGATCAGTTTTGTAAACTTTCAGTTTGTTCTAGCTTCTTTGTGAGGTCTAGTTTTTCTTTCAATTTCAGTTAAAGAAAATGAAATTCTAGTTTTCATTGTTTTGTCAGTTTTAGTTAGCAATAGGGCTGCAACGACTGCTTATTTTTCAAATTAATTTGCAAATGATTTATTTTGATTAATTGATTAATAATCGGATAGCCAAAGGTTGCTTAAAGAAGACTTTTTAGGAAATTAAACCAAGTGAAAATTACGGAAGAGGATTAGGGCCACTGAGAAAAAAAAAAAAAAAGTTAACTGATTTTTTTTATTTTATTT